CTAAATATTTCCGTTATTTTTTGTTGTACAAAAAAATTTCTGAGGACAAAATTGTACATACTATTTTAAAAGTTAAATGTAATGACAATGTATTTTAAGAGACAAATATTTTTTTTCAATAATCGTTTATTTACAAAATCCCAAGATTTTTGTTTGTAATTAAGCTATGTTTATTTTTGCATATTCTTGTAGAGCGCGAAAAAACGGATTCAATACCTATAGAACCGATCACTTATTTTTGAATATAATTAGAATTCCTTTAAACTTCATCACATGTGGTATTTCGAGTCATACAGCATACTGATTCATAAGCATTTATTAGAAAATATCTTTGGAATTCGTTGATGTTTTAGGTACAAGTATTTAAAATAATGGCCATTTGCTGCAATGCAAGAAAGATAAAGACTAAGCGATTATCCGCTGTATTATCGTTTGCAATATGAGTTTATATCGTTTGCAATACAATTTATGTTTGAATATGAATTCATAAATCAACGTGCTGTGTGTTTCATGATGTTGCGTGAAGCTTAAAGAAATTCTAAATAAATACATTCAGGCAGAATATCTCAGAAATGAATGATTAGAATGATATAGTTTTACAAATCATTGAATTCATTTTTTCACACTCTTAAAGAATATCCAAAAATAAAAATATAGAGTAATTACAAAAAAAGTAACGATGATTTTGAGATTTTGTAAATAAATGATTGCTGAAAAAAAATATTTCAAGCATTATGTTTGTTTCCTAAAATAGTATAAGAACAAAAAATAACAAAGATAACTGAATGATTCTATTCTGTATTTAAAACTGATCTATCTGTATTTAAAAAGAAATGTTATGCAATTATTTAAACATATGAAATTTGAATAATCTTCATTTTTTAAATCTACAATTCTATAATTTTTATATTTATATAAAGACATTTATTTATTAAGTACTTATGTTTAAATGAGTTTATTTATTATTATTGAGGTTTTTCTGTCTCTTCACTCAAAAAATTAAGAAATTAGTGGATGAAATTTGTTGTTCTATGTATAGGATCTAATAATCTATGTTGGTTCAACAGTTACTTTTGGAGAGAAATTGTGTTTGCAGTTGTTTTTTTATCAATAAATTTGAAAATTAATTTTCCTTTTTGTATAACATTGTTTTCTTTTTTTAACATATTATTTGTGTTGTGGATATATTTTTAATAATTGTTTCTAAATAATCCTCTACCTTCTGATCATATTCTGTAACAAGATCCCAATCAATTCCTTTACAATTTCTTTACTAGGAGATTTAATTCCTTTACCTTTAATTACTTGACAATAATAATATATGTAACATTTCTCAATATCATGTATTAGATTAATATTGAGGTTAGTGATACATTGAGATGGACCTATATGGTTTAGAATGGAGAAAAGAAAAAAAAAGATGAAAAAAAAGTGTTAAAATGAAATCTATTTAAATGAAAATTTAACACTTAATGTAGTGTTTAATGGTTATACATATATACTATTAAAAAATACGTAATGTCCTTAAAATAAAAAATTCTAGGATAAAAGTTGTAAATATTTTTTAAAAATAATATATTCCACTGAGATGATAAATCAATTTAATAACATAATATTTTATTTCAATACTGCAAATTTATAATTCACTGGAGTATCTCTACAAAATGAAAATTCAAATTTCCATATGATATAGATTTAATTTTGTTATAATTTCAATTTATTAAAATTTGTTTTAACATAAAATAATTATAGAATAAAGAGCTTATTTATTTACTACTTATTTTTGGACTGACAATTTTGAATATATCAGTAATTACAT